TCTTGGATTGAGTATGAAGTGACAAAAAAATTTAAAAATGATAAAGAATCCCTCAAAATCAGAGCCAATCGTTAAAGCAAACACAGAGTTCTCATCAGCTAAAGAAGCTATTCTCCAAACTGGTTTCAATCGTCAGGGCGACTGACTTATTTCTCGCTCACAGCATTGCATCATGAGAAGCTGGAGGATAGATTAATGTAACTAATGCCTTTATTCAAAATTCCTCGAACATGCAGCGTGATGTTTTATGCTTATCTTTGCTCAAGTTTTCCTTCATTCCCCAATTGCATCAGGAAAGATATGTTCATGTTGTTTTACTTTCCTTTGGGAGGGGGGATTTACATCATCTGAAGGAGGAGCAGAATTACAGACAGATACTTTCTGATGATTGGTCTAACATTGGAGGAGATATGTTTTACCTGCAGCTATGAGTCTGATTAGACTGCTTGTGTGAAGTTCATTTTTGCATGTGAGGGTGCTTGTCTGTTTGTTTGCCAGGAGTATATTTGTGTACCCTAGTGTGTGTGTGTGTGTTTGTGTTCTCTATGCTTGATAAGTGTGAAGAAACTGGGACACGGTGTCTACAAAGGGGGATGCTCTAATTACGGTCAGCCACACTCTGAGTGCTCTGTCCTACTGCACTCTGCTCCTCCATCAAGCTGCCATCCTTCAAAACACGCACAGCACTGCTGGATTCTCTGCTGCATTGTGCACATATTTTATGACCTTGGTTCTGCCATACAAACATGATAAGACATTACCAAACCTTTTTATAACAGGGACAATTTTAATATGATATGTTGAACTTTTATTATTCTGTATATTATTTGCCCTTTATAGGGTATATCCCAGCAGAATCAGAAAAAGAAGTCCAAATTACAGCTGCATGATATGAACCTCGCTAACTTATCACAGCCATTGCAGTTCCTATTAAAATGAACATAAAATACCCCACAAACAGGGGTATTTTGTGACATTATTTTCATATAGAAGTCAGGAAGCACCAAAGTACTGAAACTGTTTTTTGTTTTGTTTACTATAAGCTTGTAAATTGAGAGTAAATCTGCACACTGATATCTTTTTAACGGGTCTTCTTTGTACTTGGGCAGTCAATGAACCACCAAGTCTTGACCCTATGAGTTTCCTCTATTGTGTTGGGCTGTCTTGTTATGCATCTGCAATTTGGTTTCTCGGTTGTAAAAGTGCCATTACGTGGCAATAAAGGTTTTTGAGTATTTTATAAATAAAGAAAAAGGCGTTAGCATATGCAGAACTTAGATGATATAAGAAGGACCTCAAAAAGAGGCAAACAAAAGAATACAGTCATGGAAACTGGGAGAAAGGCAGTGGTGGGAAACAAGGGTCAGATAAGAAAATATGGGGAGCTGAGAAAAGATATAGATGGTAGATACTCAGGGAGGATTATTACTAGAATTGCAGGTGGAGGGAGCAGGGAGGTAGGGTGGTCATCAAGCAAAGCGAGGGAGACAAAAGGCAGAACATGGATAGACGCAAAGGGAACACAGGGATCAGAGAAAAATAAGGGTAAAAAATAGATATCGCCTCACATCCAATGCTCCATACAAAGACAACTCATAAGGTAGAAATACAATACTAGAATCTAAAATAAAAAGCAAAAATGGATTTAAAGCTTCTTGGGGGGGCTGATTGGCCAAAGTAGCTCCAACTGATGGTAGCCCAGCTTACTTTCTGATTAATTTGGTAAATATTTATTGCTCTGTAGTTGTGTTTACCACTCATGCTTTACTTTTTGCGTAACACCTTTACCTTTAAATATCTTTAAGTTATCAACCGGGGGTTTATAATTTGCATAACTTGTGTTTGTCTGAGATAAAGATTGTATTTTTAGTTATTTCAAAGTATCTCGAAAAACAGTTTGTATTTATTTTGTTATCCTACTTGTTCTTTATTGTGCAGGATGTGTGCAGCGAGGCCGATGCTACAGACCTAACGGAGCGCTGTGAGCTGATCGGTGACAGACTAATGGCCCTGGAGGACAAACTGCAGACAGCTATACTGAATCGGGATCTAGCCCTCACCCATATCCTTCCAGTTCAGCCTAGATAAATATCAGTCCTGCACTTTCTGTCCTTATTTCTTTTTTTCCATGTATCCCCGTCTGTCTATCTGAATCATATCGAGGCTTTTTGACTCTGAAGTAAACAAAACCACTGATGGATGTTAGTTTACTTTACCTTTAGAGGGGAAAATAATGTCAAATCTGGTTTCATTGATCTATTTAGGTAAGGTATAGGGGACAGGCCACAATTAGAAAAAACACACCATATATACTAACTGGAAAATGAAATGCTAAAAGTTCATATTAGGTTATTAGTGAGCCAGTGATGTGTGCTGCCAGTCATGACGGGCTGAGATTAAAAGCGACTGATGGGTTTGGTCAGCGACAGAGGAACGTATTGGTAATGAGTCTGCTCATTTCATATCTTAGTGTCAATCCTACCGCTGACCCTCCCGTCCTTCCTCTGCTCTCCTTTTCCCATCTGTCCAATTCTACTCTTTGGATCTGACAGAGAGGAAATTACAATATCCGTGATAATGACTCAAATCAAACTGTTGAGGCTGATTACAGGTCACAATAGATCATTCTCTGCGCTAATTAGAAAGCTGATTGGAAATAGATTAGTGTGTTTCTCTGGCTCAACCTTTCCCCCTCCTGCTTTTACACATTATTAAATAACTTTATATTCTAGAAGCAGGCTGAAGGAAAATCTGCCAACTAACCTTTATTCCCCCTAAATACTGAGCTGGAGACCTAGATGAGATCCTGGTTGGACCCAGATTGCAGTGATTGGATATTTTTAAATGCTCCTCTTTAACCTTGTCTATGGTATTGCAATTCTATGTTCCAGCTTTTCTAGTCATAACAATACTTTATGAAATATAGCTAGAGCCTTAGGCTTCATACGAATCCAAGATATTATTTAAAGAGATAAAACAAAAACATTAATATAAGGGTAAGAATGAAACAGTAGTGAACGGATGATAAGTACATTAATGCATGGAGTCAAAGGCTGGCCTACTGTATGTGATCCAAATCCAAAGACAGTTGATTTTAGCTTAAGTTGGGGAATTGAGATTAAAATTTACAATTAAAAAAAAAAAAAAATTATTTGGGTTTCTATTTATACTCATCAGGGTTGAAATGGTACTTCCATACGACTGACCTCTAACACTAGGAGATAGAGCAAGAATGGTTAAGCGATAATTCAATTCAATTCAGTTTATTTATATAGCACCAATTCACAACACATCATTGCAAGATATTTTACAGTTCACAAGATCATATAGTCAAATTGAATCACAATTTTCTATCCAAGGAAAACCAGTTGATTGCATCGACTCATTGACTCGAATGCAATCCCTCACACTAAGCAAGCTTGTAGCGACAGTGGAGAGGAAAAACTCACTTTTAACAGGAAAAAACCTCCAGCAGAACCAGCCTCAGTGTGAGCGGCCATCTGCCGAGGCCGACTAGGATTCATGGAGACAGAAGCAGAGATACATATTAATGAAAAAAAGAGCTCAAATATAACATGCTGACTTAAACCCCCAAATACTAGGTCTTACTTTCAAAACAGATTTGTAATCTCAATGAATCATACCTGGTTAAATAAAGGTGAAAGTTTCAGTTTTACAGACAAACACATCCAGGTTAGTGGCTTCAGCAGAGAGAAGACTCCGAAATAAAACCACTAACCTCCTCAGGATGTAGACAAAGTACCTGATTCTGTGACAGGATTATTTGCTTCCTCTGGGAGAACTGACAGAAAAGGTTAAAACTTACAGGGATATAACAAGAGGCTGAAGCTTGAAGCAGAGGTGCACTGGCTGAACATGTGAGCAAGCATTAACCTGGGTTGCAGCAGCTAGATCTGAGTCCAGGAAACAGGCTTATGTCATACGCAGATGATTAGAAAACAGTAGGAACATCCAGGGGATGGACAGGGTGCGCCGGTCATGATGTTTGGTTGTGGTCTAGAAATCTGAAGCTTGGTAGAAGTGAGACAAGGCAAGATAGGGGAATCAAGAAAACATACTTGAGATCCTAACAAGGCAAAAAAGGGATTAGAGTAATGGTCGTCTGTGGCAAGTTCATAGAGACTGGGAAACAGGTGGGCGCACTTGATTGCATCAGAGCAGAGAGGTAGCCTTGCAGGTCTGATGCATTACACTGATTAAAATTCAGCAGGGCAGGTCTGACAGAATGCAGTGTGTAGAGAGGCACTGATCATGACTGACATATGAACTTAAGTGACCTACCTTCCTAATTCAGAGGTTTTAATACAACATTAAACTACCCTCTGTAGCTATAACAGCTTAACCTCTGCTGGGGGGTTTTCATAATGTTTAATGCAGGGTGTTTATCAGAATCGTTGGTTAATAAACTTAATTTTGAAGACTAGATGCGTAGAACAGTCTCTAACCCTGCAACAGGATTTCTAATGCAGAATTCCCAGTAACAATTTACTGTGGAATATGAAATAGATATCACATTTCATTTTAGGTAGAAAAATAGTTGACCATCTTGTTAGGCATTTAGGGTCATTGCATCAGAAACATCATACCAGTGCATACGGACAGGTGGAAACTGGCCTTCTTCTTTCCCCATCTCAGTTTCCATGTCTTTATGTGCCATTTATTTCTCATAGTAGAAGTCACTGCGCTCAGCGGTGGGATCGTAGACTCCTGAGTACACTGAAGATGAAGAGTTATGTTGCTGGCTTGCAGAAATTGAAGAATAACTTTATTACTCATGATGTTACTGTTACCATAGTGACAGAAAGATCAGACCAGCAGACAGTACAGGTCTTAATTGGATCTCTGTTCTCATAACAAGAGGCACATTGACAGTGTTGGACAGAGGGACTGACAAAGGAGGACAGACAAAGTATATCTTTTCTCGCTGCGGGTGGTGAGTAGAAGGGTTTGAAACCTTTCCATAGCCTGTATTGATATAGCGCTTTATCATTCGTAAGGATCTTTATACTTATATCGTTTTTGACTTATTAATGCAAACATTCACAGAGCTAAGCAACGTAGTTGCCATAGTTGCCATGGGGCAGAATGACAGAACCGAGGCCACCAACAGCGAGCAAGGTGGATCAAGTGTCTCACCCAAGAACAGAAAAACCGAAACAGATGGAGTAGGGGCTTAACTGGCAACCCAATGATTTTCATATGTAATTTTTGGTTAATGAAAGATCATGATTTTTTTCATTCAAAAAAGCCAACAGACTCTCTGTTTGCTCCAACTTTATGAACATTCCTTGGCTTCCAACTGGCTGTGGAGCCTTACAGTTCATTTACGTTTCAAGCAGGTTAAAGATTCCTTCCACTGCCTCTTTACAGTTTCATTGATGGTTCATGAATAATCTAACTGGGCAATCTGCTTGCATGGGTGCACAGTTTAGATGAGCTCATAAATAGTGAATTAAACAGGGTTAAAGTGGGTATAACTTCATGATCTGTCCCAGTAATCCGTTGAAAATGGATGGCTTCATCAGGGCCCATAAATGTCACATTTCCCCGGTCATTTATCTGGTAGTGTTTTCTTTTTATTTTGACTTAGACTTAGACAACTTTTATTGCCATTTTGTACACACAGAATGTATACAAAACTAAATTTTGTTTTGTAAAGCTTACATAACATTATAATAATAATATGTACTGGTTTGAGAAATAAGAGTCTTCCTTAACTTTCTCTGCACAGTCTTTGGAAAAAGAAGTTCAGGAAGTAAAATCCACTTTACAAAGCATGCTCGCGCAACTGCAGATGGAAGAAGAGGAAGCGGGGCTGTCGGATGAGTTGATAAATGATGAATCTAAAGTGCAAGTAGAGGCAACAGAAGAAGAGGAGGAAGAAGAAGAAGAGGAAGAAGAGGACCAATACTTCAGTGACAGTTGGGATATTTAAGGTGGATGCCTAAAGTGTTTTGGGAGCCCAGCCCAGGATGGGATGATGGGAGCAGAACCTCAGTGCAGAAGCAGATCTGACCTCAGATCAGTTTACTACCAGCCTCTGGTCTGAAAGTATAAACTACACAGTGCCTTACAAAGGGTTTATATCCTGGAACCTTTTTTCACATTTTGTCATATTAGAACCACAAACCTTTGAGTATTTCACTGGACGACACTCATCAACAAACGCTAGAGCTGTAGCATAAAATTTAAGGAAATCATGTATGCTTTATAAAGTCTTAACAAGAAAAATCTTAATAGTTGCCTCCTGAGTTGCACAGCAGTTATAGCTTTAAAAAAAATTATTCTATCTGCCAGTTCATGGAGAACAGCTATAAATATACATTTTAAGTTTTACCTTGCACTAAAATGCTTTTAATTTGATTTTAATTGGACCATATATATAATTGCATTTAGATCTAAACCCTTAAATTAAAGCTCTGCCCGGCTGTTTAGGGTTCTCCAAGCGTCTTATATTAGATTTTGAACCACAAACAGATTTTCTTTGAGAATGGACGTGGATTTAACTCCTCCTATCTTCACATCAACCTCTTTCTCTTCTGTAGAGAGCAATCCCCCTTTGATAATGCTGCCTCCACCATGTTTTATACTGGGATAATGTAATAGTGTGTAGTGTGTTCTACCACACAGTTTGTAACTGGCCTAAATTTGATCACCTCCTTCCACATTTTACTGTGCCCCCTGCATGAATCGTAGAAACCTGAAGCAGCACACATTTTGGCGCTGTTTAAATAATGCTTTTATTTTTTCTACTACGCCATAATGGCAGTTTTATTATTTGCAGTACAAGTAATAACAACATAAACAGATTTCCATACCTTGTCTCTGCATCTCCTCCAGTTATCATAAGCCTCTCAGACAAATTCACTGATAATTGTTGATAGGCATCCATTTGGCTTATAATCTTTTTAATCTAAATGATAGATTGAACTGCACTGCAATATAATAAAACAGTTGCTTATTGCTTTATAACCTGATCCTGCTTTATGGTTCATTTGGTTTAGTGATAGACCCCAATTTGAAACCTCTATAGATAATTATTCCTATTTAATTATGTTGATTTGTTACATCAAATACTTAGAAATGGTTTGTGGTCCAAATGTGAAAAGATGTAAAAAATGTCCAAGAGGTATTAATGCTTACCAAACAAAGTTATTTCAAATATATGAAGGATCTGAAGGAAACAATGCTTATGAGACACTTGTTACTTTTTTTTTTTTTATTGTTTCTTTAACCACTTTGGATCTTAATTGATAAACATTGCTGTGACAGTTTAATATGTAGTCTTACTTTTGTTAGTTTTGATTTCGCAAGCTAACAGAGCCTTTAACTCTTGTCAGCAGCAGAAATTAAATTCTGCAAGGACAATCCGAACAGTTATAACTGTTAACTTGTTTTTTTTGCACACAAACTAACGTTAATGTCCTAATTCAGCATCAGCAAACTACTTTTTCTGTTTCCTGTAAGGATTATTTGTACTTGCACATAATTGTGTTCAATGAAGAACCCATTTCTGTGGTGCTAAAAAATGTGACTTAACTTAAACACTATTTTTTGTGTGGAAAATGCAATATTTGGGTTGTTTTGCTTTTTTTATGCAGCATGTACTGAGAAACATGCTCTGAATAAAAATACTTAATATTAAGTTTCACTATTTCTTTTGCTCCCTTCTGATTACATAGTAGTATTTTACTTTGAAGTGTACTTTTAGAGACTACTTTTTAATCTACAAAGCAGTTTGAAGTCACTGTACGAGCTTTCATATTTATTCCTAACAGCATCTCACTAATTACATCATGTTGGGTTCAGCCTAATGTTGTGTCCTGCTGTTTTCTTCTTGGATTAAATCATAGCCCCCTCTGGTGATGTTCGTTTCGTAAAATGTGAGGGTGTGCTGCCAGGCAAGTGAGGGCAGCGGTGACATGTAGAAGATATCAGTACGTTAATAATGGTCCTCCAGTAACACTTTAGGGGATACATGGTTTTCTATTGTTATCTCACCTCAGCAGCAGCTCTGTGACTAATTGGTAAGGCAGCCACACAGAGAATGTGGTATTGGGGGGTGGAACTTGAAATGGCACCGTTTGGTCTCCATCTGATTCTTTGTTGTCTGGTAGCAGGGTTTGGCGTTCTCAGACATCTACCATCCATTGCTCTGGGCTGTAAGCAAAGCTGAGTGCAAGGTTTTTTTTTATCATGCAGCAGCACAAACACAACGGGTCATTTTTTTATTACTGCCAGGTTGCAAAGCACTTGCTTGGCCAGAAGTCTCCACATCTATCAGCTTCAGGCAGCGTGTTAAGATCTGTAGAGCATTGGCACACAACGTCTTCGTACCAGGCACCGCCACCTCATAACAAAATCTGAACCTGCATCGTACTGTGCTCCACGTGGCAACTCCTCTCATGAAATGACCACAAAGAAAACACAGATGGTTTTCAGCAGGCAGACATGGCTTGGTGAGATGTTTCTTAATGTAAAATGAAGCACCACGCAGCCTCAGGTCCCTCATCTCTGCAGTCGGGTTGGAAGGTTGCTGTGGAGCGTTTCATGAGGTGGATCATTTTTTCATTCTTTTCCTTGTAAATACAGACCGATTTGGTTCTTCATCCATTTATGTTATAAAAGCAATTCTGTTACAAAATGAAAGCTTTGTTTTAGACAGTCATTCAGGAAAAAAAGTGGTGTGTCTGCAATTATTAAGAGTAAGAACACTAAATGAATAACTGAGTGAGGGGATTTTAGTGGAACCATTTCAAGGTTTTCTGGGGTCTTAGACAGAATTTCATTTGGAGGCCAACTCCAAGTTGAGGTCATTGTTTTTCAAACACACCACAGAAATCAATTTCTTTTGATAGTGTCCATGGGTCATTGTTTTGCTTCTTTTTAAGTTATCTGGTCAGCGAGCCATGAATTTTTTGATGCAATTCAAATCCTTTAAAAAAATGAGTTTCTGTTCAAATGTCTTCAACAGTTATTTTTATCTGCAGTAGATTTATTTGTAAAGGATTAGCCCATTCTCTATTGGGAACTTAATAAATTTGAAAAACGTCCCCTGGCCATGTGCCTTACAGTGTTTACCAGTGACCAGATACTGCCAATGTATCACTAAATATATTGTATCAATTCCTAGCTTCTGTTTGGAGCCACAGTGGTGTCATGATATCTATTTATTAGGAGGAAAAAAACTAACAAAAACTTTAAAGTTGGTTTAGATTTTAAACTGTACAAGAACAATGACACATGACCTGTTCCTTTAAGACCAAAATTGTGAAAAGTTTTTTTCCCCCTCACATTTTCAAAATGAACACATACTATGCCATACAGGCCCTGATCAAAAATAACACCAATATTTTTTACTTTATTATCAGAGATCAGTTTAATCCCATCCAAATGAAGCGACTTCTGTTTTGTCTGCATTCAGAAACAGGAAGTTACGAGTCATCCAGGTTTTATAACTTCAATACATGCCTGTAATCTATGTAATGGGTTAGCTTCATCTGGATTTATAGACAGATATAGCTGAGTATCATCAGCATAACCATGGTTATTAATCCCATGCTGTCTAATAACTCTATGTAAAGAGAATTGGTCCTAGCACTGATCCCTGTGGTACTCCACGGGTAACCCTGGAACATGAGGAAGATTTATCATTAACATAAACAAACTGAAACCAGTCAGACAGATACGGCCCACTGTGTTGAAACTTATTTTGAATGATAATATGTAGAACATATGATATTAAAATATTTTAAAATATACAAAGTTATTTTGTAGAAGATTCGAAAGGCTGAGCACTGGTCTGTAAAACAAGAAAAATTAAATTTTTGGGGTTTATTTTGAAAGTTTCCATCAGTAAGAACAATGGAGAACAGCTTGAGAGTTATTTTGTGCACCATGTTTTAAAAAGTAACAGTAGAGAAGAGTAGAGTTTAATAGAGGAATATTTCTTGATTATTCCGTATTTGTTGACTTGAAGATAATTTGATTTGGAAGAGTAGATTATGTTTTTCAGGAGGTTGAAGCTAGAGTCATTTCCTGAGTTCACATTGACTTGTTTCCATGTCTGCGCCATCATCTGTTGCAAATCGTGCCATCCAGCGGTCCACACTGGACACCTGTGGGATTCATTCAGATAACATCCGTCTCTTAATCTGAAATGCAGGGGGTTGTTTTTACATACAATTCTTTTTACACTCTTAGTGTCTGGTATCCTGTCAGGCCCATCTGATCTCCATAAAATCGACTATTCTTTCTCTTTAATCCATTGAAAATGGACTTGATCATATCTTTTACCAACAACGCAGGAGGTCTCTACATCATGCTGCTGCATAATGGAGCCAGTTTGTGTTACTGCATCAAACAGAACAGCTTCTAGCAAAGGAGATGTATACATTTTAAACAATTGACAAATGCAAAAAAACGTTCTGGTTTAAGAGAACATCATTTTTTGAATCATCAAATGCTTTTTTGTTTGCACTTCTGTTCTTGTTGAGTCAGCTTATTGTTTATGTGTTGTATCCAAGAGTATTTTGTGTTTTCCTAAATACAAATAGTACTGTATACACCACCTTTGAAATTTCTAGAATTTATTGCAGATTTTCCTCTGATGCAGCTGCAGCCAAACTATGGACAAGTTGTGAAGCTTCAAATTGGACTTTTTGTGTCTTCTTGTCTTTCATATCTACAGAGATTTCTCTAATTTAAAACTGACACCTTTTTCCCCTCCTCCTTTCATTGTGTGAGCGAGTTAATGTCAGCTCTGGTCACTGAGTGAATCTGATTTTCATTAGAGGTCATTCAGAGCCAAGTGAACCTGTCTCTTTTGAGACAATGTAACACTGGCAAAGTGGGCTATTCTTCATTTTTGGCTGTAGTTTCAGAACCTGAGTTAAATTTATTCTCCCTTTTGTCTTTGCGGCTGAATAAATTTACAAGATCAGTTTAGATTAAGGGAAAGCCCTGTGGACTTAAATGTTCTAAATAATTTAAATGCAGTCCTTCTTAATTGAAATGGCATTTTCTTTCTCAAACCAGTTAAAAGAAGAATAGAATATAGAAAGAATATAAATAAGAGACAGTCGGAAATTGCATTGCCTTTAAAATTTAACACTGAGGTTTAAAATCAAATTCAATTATAAAACATGCCCTGAGGAAATAACCACCTCATCAAAAACACTGCGACTTATTGCTGCGGAACGAAAGTATTGAACATCGTTCCCTTAAACAAACTTGTTAAGATTTTACTTTGAATTTATTGACTAAACAAAAGATACTAATGCAGATTTTGGAGGTTCAGAAATCAGAGATCATGAGTTGAAAATTGCACAATAATATGTTAATATAATGAAGTCAGTCTAGCTTGCAGATGAGCAAATGTTTTTTTTAGCTACAGTTTATAACATGGGGGCTTAAAGGAAAATTAAACTGAGTCATCTACAGACATATAACGATGGGTGAAGCGGAATGAAAAGAATCGCTTTAATCTGAAACTCATTCACCTCTGTGCCCTCATTAAAATAGAGCGCTGTACAAACAGTCTTAATTTGTGGTGCATCTGATTATTTAACAGGATAAGATGTGTTTATGAATATGCCACTTTTAATAAAAGAGATCATATTGTAATAAACTAAAATCTGTACTCCTCCACCAAACTCAATGATCTCTTTTTGGAGACAAAATCAGTTTAAAAAGAATTAAAATGATTTGACAGACATGGACTCTCTGTACTTTACTAGTACGCTTTATAATTTCTAACTTTCCGGTAATCAAACATTTAACACAGATTAAAAAGATCAAACTGAGGTCATGACCTGGCTTTTATAAAGGGGGAGGTTAAACACATTAACGAATATCCTCATTACCCCTCCTCCTCCACCCCTGGCCAGATGTGTGATTTACAGACACAGCAGTGCTTTAACCTAAATCCTGCCGTTGGCACGCAAACATACATAGCGCAATGGGTACATGTGACTTTTTGACTTATTTGTGAGTTTATTTGTATGAAAATACTTACATGTAAATGTTTTTTTAAACAACTACAAATCATAAGCATCCATAAAACGTGCAAATGTGGTCATTTTAAGTTCCGAAGGAATGCTCTTATGACCTGATGGTGTATATATATGGTAAATGCTAATATTTTTGAGTAAAAAAAAAAATCTTATTTCTTTGGAGGTATATGGATATATTTTAGACTTAGACTTAGACTTTTATTTGTCATTTTGTTTACACAAGTGTAAAACAAATCTAAATTTCGTTTGGAACAGCTCTCTGGACCATTTCATCTTTTTAAAAGTGCAGCCTTGAAAAACTAAAAAAAAAAAAAAATATATATATAAACAGTAATATATGAAATATTACTATTTTTTAAAATCTACCATTTCAATTAATAGGAAGCAGTGCAGTGGTTAAAAGACTATTTGTCGATCAGGACCCTGCACCATTTCCACGGTACTACTTGTTATTGTGGAAACTCTAATACAATAATTAATCTTTCTCAAAAAACAAAAAACAAATCAAAGACTTTTCTGTGTCATGTTGGATCGAAATCTCAATACTAAGTGTTTTGAAAATGGTTGATGCCTAAATTAATCACAAATCCATTAAATTGCAGTCAAAAGAAGTTATACCCTGGTTCAGTTTGGAATCACAATGAAAGATTTTTGAGTGATTTGACACATTTGTCTGGGTAGAAAACCCATTAATCATGCAGTGAACATGCA